ATAGAAAGATACATATGCAATATATGATTAAGAGAGAAAGAACAATAGAGAAGAGAGGATAAGTAATAAAAAATAATAATACATATATATACTTGGTATTAAACCCCACAATATTTAGAAACCACATAAGGGCCCACTTAATTTGAAGTCAAGTCGTGTCAAATACAAGAGAAAAAAGCTCTCCTAATGCCTGCATCTCCATTCAAAGACTTGAACTCAAAATCTTGCTTAACTCGATCCAATAGGTCATTTGTGCATACAAACACACACAATAGTCGAAAACTCCATTAGGCCCCACATAATCTTAAGTCGAGCTGCATCAAACTTATAAAGGAGAAAGCTCTCACAGTGCCTATCTCTTTATTCAAAAACTCTAACTCGAAACCTTACTTTAAAAAAAATGAGCTTTTTATACTCAAACTAATAGTTCGTTTGTAAACACACACATCAATTTAAGAAAGAGAGATGGGGAGAGATACATGTATTAAGTTAAGTCTAAATTAAAATGCATAATAATAATAATAGAAGTGTATGATAAAACAAACCAGAATATTGAAGGTGCTTCTTAAAAAGATGTATGGTAAAAAAAATTATGAAAATTTGATTTTTTTAAAAAAATTAAATTAATTAAATTTTAATGTTTAAATCTTTTTTCATACCTACCATTTAAATCTTTTTGGCCAAATGTGAAAATTCTCCCCAAAATTGTTGCATTAAAGCAACTCACCCCCTAAAAAGAATATTGATGCAATTTGCCACTCCAAATTTCTATTTTTAAGAAATTAGTCCATATTTAACAATTGTCACTAAACTCGTTAAACTATTACTTTTGAAGTCTCATAGAAACTTAATGGTAACCATTAAATTTGAGTTGATTTCTTGAAAATGAAATTTTGGGGTGGCAAATTGTATCAACATATTTTGTGGGTGGTGATTTGCTTCAACACAACAATATTGGGGGGAATTTGCACATTTTGCCAATCTTTTTAATTAATACATTAAAAATTACTAATTATGAAAATGAATACTCTAAAATGTATTTATAGTTAATTATTATTATTGAAATTTATAATTACTAAAAATCTTTTAAAAAACAAAAATGAACCACACAAAATACAACTTAAGGTCTAGTTAAAATAAAAAATTAAAGATTGATAATTTGATTAAAAATGAACTTTAACACTAACAATTATACAAACTTATTTGAGTAGTATTGAAATTATTTTTGTTCTTAAAAAATCTTATACCTAGGGTCTTTTTTCTCCCTTATCGCATTCTCCTTTTTCTTCTCGTCTCCTTACTTGTCTCAACCTCTCTCCTATGATGGTTAGGGAGAATGAATATTTGGAAGTTTCTCCTTTGTAAATGTTTCTCTCTTAAAGAGTCTTCCTCTCTTTTGAAAGTTTGTTGTTTGTCTATGCTTTCTTGAGATATTATCAAGTTTTGATTTGATAGAGGTGGAAACAATACAAGGGTGGCTAATTTTTCTGCCCAAAAAGTGAACCTGGCATTGTTAAAAAAGACTTTTAAGTGTTAGAGAAGGTTATAGTGGTTGTTTGTTTACTCTATAATTCAAATTTTTGCCCTTACATTGATTACTTTTGTAATCTTTTAATTTTACATTACTTTTCATTTTTAATTGTTTAGATTTATTTGCTAACATTTATTACCTATTACCATATGTTGTAGGTATAGCTTCAAAGTTGTTGAACTAGAGATTGTGGTCTATCATGTGATCTCTTCTTTTCCAATATAGTGTCTATTGTAGATTACTAGATGTACTATATAATATATTAATGAATCTACCATTATTCTATTTTAAAAAATTATTTTTTCTGTTATTTCTCCAACACTCATAATAACATATTGAAAATCAAACAGAAACTAAATAATTTTTTTTTGAATTACAAAATTTATAAAAATCAAACTAAAAGG